TGATGTTAAAGGTCTACAAAATGTGGATGACAAAAGAAAAATGTAACCACTTTGAAGATATCTATACATCTTTTTATTTCGCAATAAGAAGTTTAAAGAAAAAGTAACGTGACACGTGATCAATTACTTTCTGGTAATTTTTCAATTAGTTTTGTAATGCATTAATTGAATACTGCAATCAGTTACATTAAAAAAAGTAATTGTAAATGTAATGGGTTACTTTTTTTCCCAGTAACGCGTACAAGGTTGCTTAGCTCGCACCATCCATCTTTAATTTTCTTCTTTTACAAGGACGATTTATGGATGTAATTTCCTTCTTCCTGATGAACTTTCCTCTTCTCAATTCATGACAACATAAATTTATAATTCATATTTACGTTGTGCTGCTGGTGGCTTCTTGCGTTTTTTTTTTTTGTTTTTTTTGTATAATTTTGTTTTTGTTGCGTTTTCGTTTACGATTTAGTGAGGCATAATTTCTTGTACTGCGTACAATATATTTGTTTGTATTCTTTCCCGCTTGGACCATCATGGTATGCAGTACGTTATAAATAAATAAATACATAAATCTTCACCCAAATGTAGCCTCCGCGGTCCGAACCAGGTGCCAAAGTTCCGGACCTTACGTCCGAGCGCAGCGGATGCTACGAGGCATCGGAGCCCATCACAGGCCGTGTGAATGTCACGTGACATTGGAGAGGGGGCACAGCGACGCGCGGAAAGCGCATCGTGGGCTACGCCCACAGGATAGCTCGTAGCGTCCGCTGCGTCCGGACATAAGGTGAAACGGTATATAACCGTTATTTTAATCAAAAGTTGTAAACAATCTTTTTTTTAAATATTTGAATGGGAAACTAGCCGCCTATGAACATCTTCTATTACGTGGAGCTGAATGCGCCAGTTACTGAAAACGGGAGACAACGGGTCCCATTTTCCCATTGAAGCTTTCAGAAAATCACCTATAACTCTTGACTGACATAAAGCTTAGTTCTGAAACTTGAGTATCAGGTTTTAACCGCTAGCGGTACATTTGGTTGATGAATGAGCGGTTTTCGAAGATTGTTTTCGAAGAAAATACACTGTCACATATTTTTCTTAACGCGTTGCACTTCGAGTGATTCGGAAAAATTGTCTAACCAAAATTACATCTTACATATGGGTATCAACTATCCTCTACGTGGCAAATGCCTTGGGTTAATTTCCCGCTTCATTTTCAGTTGTTTTAATCGGCCATCGCGTTATCGATGAAGATAGACGTTTTGGAACAAACACCGAAACATTACCCAATAAGGAAAAGCTACAATGGCTGCTTTAAACAAATATAGCTTCGTTCTAGAAATATCTATTAATAAATTATTGGACCTAATATTCTTGAAATATCCCATCTTAAACGCTCGGAAAAGCCTACTACGACTACACAAGGAGCACACGTTCCTACGGGACTATCCTTGCGTTAACTATCAGCGTATTTTAATAAGAGTTTTAATAAATTCTGGTGTTTTATTTTATATCCTATTGTTTTTATTTTGAATAAATAACTGTGACTAGATATAAATTGTAGCGTTTAATTGTTTTGCAATAATTATTTTTTTCGCTAGATGTTTCCACGGTCTACGGTCTTGACGACGGGCCGTTTCGACGCCGTGCTTTTCCAGTGGGTTCTGCTCTGTCTGTGTCGTTTCGGCACGTTTTAATTATATCAGGCTTTCTGAGAATGACGTCGGACACACTAAGATAAACATGTTATACACAGGTATGTACCTAGAGAGCTTATGTTTCTACTGGGCATGTGCCCGGGAAGATTTTAAATGGAGGTATCATTCTCAAGGGTTTCAGATTATGTGTCCTCGCAGCACATTGACACTGATCTAGATCCTGTATCAAGAACAAAATTTGTTCAGGCTTAAAAGAAAAACGTATATAATTTTAGTGTTTTATTGGAGACCTAAAATAAGTTTATGGATAATAAAAATCAACTCCAGAAATAACTTCATCCAATTGAATATGCCATACAAAAAAAAAAAAAAAAAAAACGTGCTCATATAAAGTTAAATTCTCTGACTATATTGCACAACTAGCGTGGATGGTGATAGTGAAGAAAGAAAAAAATAACGAATGAAAAAAGGTTAAGTATAAATGTGATGTGCCCATATACTCAAACTTTATCAATTATGTGCAACTTTTATAGACGTTTGAATCTCCGAATGTTTTACGATAGGTAAAAACCACAAATTTAATTACCCAAAGGACGAAGGAAGAAAGGTGACGTTAGTGAATCATATAACTTTTTTTATTTCCTGCGTGTGATTGCGTATTTCGTGAGAAAATAGTCGAGATTTTAGCTTTACATGTTAGCTATTGAGCGCCTATTGTCTACAGCGTTGTCGTTTCGCCATCGTACTACTACATTTAAGTTCCTCCAAGATCATCCTCCTCTTGTATGTTTCAATATCATTGAAGTTTTGGCTTAAGAGAAATTGGTTAGTTTAGAAAAATAATAAATTCTGTAATTACTCTGATTCAAAGTATTAGCTGATTCAAAGTATTACTTAACAGCAATAAAAAGAAAATCATGGGTTCGTTTGAAATATATTCACGCGTTTAAAAGTACCAAATTCACCTGCACGTATTTAATAATAGTTCGCAGCTAGTTATTAAAATGAGCTGTATACAGATTTCCTGCGAATAGAAATTTTCGAGGAACTAACATATTCTTTCAGCATTTTAACTTCGGCAATACAGCGTATAACGGGCTGGGGCTGGTTTTGAGTTGAAACCATTTGGTATGTCGTAACTTCCCGTGTGGTTACACAAACAGACCGTGTCCGTAGTTTAGATGGGTGCTGCTCTGTTGGGGTGACTTTCTTACCTATCTGACAAGTGCAGAGTTTTTCGTGCGTCTCCTTCAGTTATACAATGGCTGTCGATAATGAAGAAGGCAAAAAAGTAATGCCGTAAAGGCCGCAATTTCCTCACTGCCAATGAATAAGTTAACAATCTCAGATATCGACGGAAAAGAATTCGCGGCAGATAAGTTTTCGGATTCCGACATGAGACACTGGCTGATACGACTCCTTGACTTATATAAATGGCGCGCCAACAATGGTAGCTAGATAGTTCCAGTACCAAGAGAATTATCCAGTAAGGTGAGTAAATTGTCTTTACATTCCACTGTCTTAAGCGCCGCATTTGGTATATATGGCGATCGCAGGTTTTTCTTGTTTTTCTGTAATAATTTTAAAGCTGCCGTCGAAAACAACCAGTCAAATGGCAAATGCTCATTCGGGGCAGTAATCTGCGCGGTAGAATTTGGGGTGTCTGCAGATGTTTCTTACTAGTGAAATTCAATAAAACGTCGATGACGTGTTCGCAATGACTGCGTCTCGCAGTGTACATGCGCTTTGCTTGCGTAAAACTACTAAAAAAATTAACATAAAAATTAGTTTGCTATTTTCTCTGCTCGAACAGTTTTGGCGGGGACATTTTGTTGAACGCCGGGCCATATTCAAAAATACTATATTCAATTCATTTTATTGCTTTCACAATGGAGTAATCTAGTCTGTTTTTTTTTTCTACGAAGAAGTTAATGAGCCCAAATGGGTGTTTAATTAAACCGGCTTCAATTCATTATTTGTCTGTTCCTTTACAGAAAATGCTGGTTGCCATTTTCGTAACCCTGATAGCGAGTGAGTGCACAAATTTAATCACTTTGATATTCTCTTATATTTATCTTGTGCAGCAGTATGCCTCATTATATCAATTAAAACTTTCGAGAACGTTTCACGTATAGCGAGCCAGACACGCTACCGACCAGGCCACGCTGACACGCTTGCACTGCTTGGGAACGAGCGGGGGTTTATATTTAGCTATCGCGTTCCACTCTTAAAGGGGCCCTGCAATCATATTTAAGCGTCTACCTTTTTTTTTTTTTTTGCGGTTTCCACGTCTCTTGAAGTTCGGGCAAGCCAGCAGGCACGGAAAGAGTAACTAAATATCAGTGCGCCATATTTTAACCGCACGACGCGGAAACCTCCCCTACTTACGGGGGCGACCCGCAGTGCCGAAAGCGCGCGATATGTGAGGTTTTTGGTCCTGGCCTTACTACAAGTCAGAGACGCTAAAAGTTTTGTTTCGTCGAAACACGAACTGTAAGTGGCGCGAACCGTTTCCAATATTTATGAAAAAAGTTTTTGTTCAGTATTTTAGATCAAAAAAGGAACAGACGCAGTTTATAAAGTGCGGAAACAAGAAATAACCCGTCGACATACCCGCCACCAAGCGGCGGAAAAGGCGGAACATACTAGGCACCAACCAGCGGCGAGCGTAGAAAGGTCCCGCTGCGGTCGTATACCGGCTCGAGGATCCGACCTTTTCCGAGTGTTTCGAAGGTCTGCGGCGTAGGTTTGGCTTGCGATTTGGCCATTAGGCGGTATGGCAGCACGAAGTGGCTCCCGTTCTGAGCTTATCTTTACCCCGTGTTTGCTGTCATTTGTGGCCAATGAAGTGTCATGCCAAATTAGTCTTTAATCGCGCAGCAAATCGAATGCGAGCCGCACTAACCGCCCGCTTCATACAGCCTATCCAACATATGCTTTAGTGGCGCCCTCTCGAGCCGTCGACACGGAGTGCGGCAGCCGTGAGCGCTCGCTGAGCTCACTACCCGTCCCCTAGTTCACGGCCACTCAAGCCACGACAAACGACGTCATGAAGGTTATTTTTCGTTTGTATTTAATATTAATTCACCTATAACTTTTAAAATAAAACAAAATTTGAGAAATGTCTGATTAAGTTACTACGTTCAGTGCGCTCAGGTTCGGTGCAAATTAAAAACCAGTCAAAAAGTTGTTGCAGCGCCCCTTTAAAGGCGAAGCTTAAGCGTCCTGCTGTAATTTTATTGACAGTTTTTTTAGCATTCTCGTTATAATTTAATGTAATAATACTTACCGCATTATATTGCGTAGAGTTTTGTCCTGAGACAAAACTCTACACTAAGTTTTTTATGTATGTTTGGACTTTTCAATCTATCTTGTTTCCTAGTTCTGCCTTGACCAATTCTAGATTATACTCAAACGTGAACAGACATAAAAATACTAAAAACAAGGCAAACGCGCTTAATTTGGCTTAATAAAAAAAATTCCATTCACATATTTAATGTGAAAAGGTCCTAAATATCTGAATGAACTATTTGACTTAAGACTAATTACAACAGAGTTATAATCTCCAGGTCTTAAGACTTGCCTTTGTTCGCCATCGTTTTATTCATCTGGAAACAGAAGCGACAAAAAATGCTCGTTTAATTTTTTTTTTTCAAAAGCAGGCTCAGTGGGAGGCTTTCTGACGGACGACACGCAAGGCGCCAACTTGTACATAGACTGGATTCTCCTTGCGGCGAAGACAAGCACGCAAAGTCACTTGGACCCTCTCCTAAGGGAAAATTTCCAGCCCATTAACGGCAATCACAGAGACATATCGGTCCGTTTTGTTCGCAGCAAACTCAAAGGACTTGGAGAGTTTCGTCGCAAAGGCGACTGCAATGTGACGCGCTCCCTCGAGTCAAACACTCGCGAGATTGTTTGCCAACTTTCAACCGATTTGCGGTTCAATAGTGTCATGAATGTGACCTATCAGGGTGTGACAAAACCGGAGGTCGCAGCGACAGCCTTATTCTATGGTGTCAATGGTCCCGTCACCATGTTGTTGAAAGGCTGGAAGACGTTAAGTGTGAAGTTTTCTCCGCGATATGACGGCGCACAGATCAGCCTTGGGGAATCAAAAGACTGTGGCAAAAACGCGGCGGTCTGCCATGACTTTTACACACAGCTTATCCATTTGTTCGAGTACGCCACGCAAAAAGTCTTCGTTAAAGCCATTCTCAATGGAGCCAGACGTGTACCGTCTCATAACCATTAATAGCTCAGGGTGCCTAATGTGCCAAATTAAAGTTTAGATGTTTTACTAGACCCGAGAGAAAAGCAATCACTGTATTCCACCAATAAAGCTTTTTTTTTTCTTTAACTGATGATGTTTTGTTTTATTTTGGTGTTTTCGTTAGAAAAAATAATGAATTCATAACGATTTTTTTTCTTAGTGTTAATCACAAAACCCATCTGGCAGTGAGAATGTTCATTTACTTGTGTTTGTTTAGGTAAATGGTTTAACTGCTTAACTGGGACCATGTCCAGCTTTTTTATGTACCACAAATGTTTGCCATCACGTATAAATCTGCTTCTGGTTACAAGTGAGAATCGCCATCGATGACCTATGTTCAATTCTAAGAAGGTGCCTTTTATACAAAAATAAATCAACAAGCCAAGCTGCGCAAGAAACACGACTGGTCTGAAATATAAGCGACATACTTTCGAGCTATTGCTTTATAGCTCAGATTATCCGGTCACAACCTCATTATTTAAGCTTAGATTTAGTCAAATTTTATCCTTCGCACGTAATACGCTTGTTCGTATGGAAGAAATGAGAAGCAGTCTCGTTACTTATCAATCAGTCCCCGCACGTAAGGTTGATCAATCAATAAAAGGGGAAGGATAAGCGCAAGCTGGTGTTGGTGTAGCATCATTATAACTCGAGGCAATAAAACAGAGTGAGAACTCGCACTACCAGACAGAAGCTCATTGTTAGTGATCGTTGTCTTAAGAAGATTGAAATAAGGGTTACTATGAAGGCGAGCTAATAAACAAGCATAGTGGCAAAAACAACGACAAAAAAAAAAAAAAAACCTTAAGCTATGGTGGCGAAAATTGGGACAAAACAACAGCGTTTCAAAATTTGAGACGACGTTGTGTTGTTGTCTCGATTTGATCCCTACTTTTAAGATTTCTTCTGAAACTATACTCTTAAAAGAGTAGGATGTAGGAAGAAAAACGTTGCTCTCAGACATTCCTTTTGACAAGTAGATATCTCTAAGGTTTTGCTGACCGCTGAGAGTGGATTAAAGCAACATAAAGCAACCGCTTTTGGAAATTTTTGTAGCAGGGCGCGGTCTCTTTTGGCTTCCAACATGTTTAATTTAATTTAGTTTATTTGACATAATAAAAGGGGGTGGGGGATGGTTAAAATTCAACAGTAAAGTGAAGCAATATCAAATTAATGCTAGGTTACATTTAATGCGCACGAACGTGATGATCAATGTTGTGGAGGGCGGTAATAGCCGGTCGGAATTGCGAACAAGGTGCTCGGGATTGCGAACAATGTGCTGTGATAAATTATACCTTTGGGAATGCGAACAATGTGATCGGGTAGATTATTACAGTAAAAATTAACCAACTTTGACCCAGAAAACATGAATTGATTATAGCCCCAGATCGAATTTTGAGCCGATGACCTGTGCGAGGGGGTATCAAAAGTCGGCGTCCACTACGCATTTGTATTCTGAAGCAAAACTAGTAGCATTACATTTGTGCATATAGGTCCGTTGATGTATTTTTCGGTGTTTCAAAAGAAGGGGATTTAGTTCAGCTTTCAATGCAGAGATATCATAATTAAAGCGATGACACAGCATTAAGAGATCGTCGTCGAAAAATATATGGGTAACTCCTACACGATGACTGGGCCTAGAATGCAGTTTCTGACCGGCAATGAACGCTCTAACTAATTAATTATTAAATAAATTATTTCATTATTTATCCTTAAAAGCTCGTCAGCTTCGGTTTTTTTTGGGACAATCACAGTTAGTTGCTCAAATATGTGAAACTACCTCAAGTGCATTACGTCCTCATACTGAGAACCAGACAATAAAAAGGTGATAACATTGTCGAACGATATCCCCCTATCCCGCATGCTGCCGTGAGTCACCCGTCTGGAGATAATATTATCGAGTTGAAGACAGGGAACGTGAGCGATAACCGGTGGACGAAGGTTAGCAGCAGGGCGGAGAACGAACATTAATATGAGTTAAATTGTAAGTTAAATCATGATTTAAGTCGCGATTTGATTCGCGCCAAGTTTTCGATGATGATTTGAATCAAAGTTTTCTGTGTGCGTTTGCTTTTGTATTTAGAGTTAACAAGCAATGAATAATTATATCAAACGGCTCACGAGCAAAAGGTTTTTTTTTAGAAAGTCACAGCGTTGAGCTTGATATCTGCACTACACTTTGTTCGTCAGCTACGTAACGTTCTCTTGCAATAAAAGCAGAACGGAAAAGAAACAAATGTAAGCTAGAAATGCCCCACTGCTATCAAATCATGACTCGCAAAATTAAAAGAAGTTTAAAAGTAACTAAATTAAATTAGGCCTACTTTTTGTTCTAGTAGGGGATTACGGGAATAAAAGGTAAATGAAAATCTAATTTACACCCAGAGTAATTAGTCTATCCACATATATATCTATCTGGCGTTTAAAAAAACGAATAAATTTGTGCTAAAGATTTGGGACTTTAGCTGCAGTAATTTAAATCAATTTTAACGTGTTATAAAAAGGAAAAGGCATTGGTATTAATTTAAGGGCAGCCATGCATATAAACATATTGTTGTATACCTATGGTCTCTAAAGAATGCTAGGTTCCTCCATTCGCTTAAAAATGACAAATTTATTCGATTCGTTTTTCTTATGAGTCCAACATTTTCTATCGAGCTTGAATAAATAATATAATTTCAAATAAATAGCCAGAATTGATTAATATTTCCATATTTGAGGGATGCCTTTTGGTTTTCTTTGGTGTCTTAAATGTCGAACTGGATCTAAGCTAAAACTTGGGCTATTTTCGTACTTTTACAGTAATGCGTCTTGGATCTTAACCATAAATCAAATTCATATGTAACAAATACTGAGTCTGCTTTCGAAAAAAAATTTAATAATTATTGATTGGTGTGCGATCAGCCATTATGTTTCATAGAGGACGACATACGAATGATATCCTTTATTTAAAACAAACCGCCTGTATAAGATGTACACCCTTACACAGTAAACTTGTTACACCCTTAAAGGTGTCATGGCGCTCAGAACACCCTTCTAACACCCTCGCTCTGAGCACGATGGGTGTTAAAAGGGTGCCCGACACGGCTAAAACACCCTCTTTACACTTTTAAAATATGAAAAAGGTGTTAGAAGGGTGCAAGAAAGGGGTTAAGTAAAAAGAGTACACCCCATGATGCCGCTAGGGTGTAGGGGTGTATGGAGTTTGGTTCTTGAAATCAGTGGAGAGCAGTTTCAGATTAATTTCGACTGCGGCCAACACTACGATCTAATGAAGCCAATAAATAAGGGTACTGTCACGGAGTGTAAATGGCTGAGTGCGTTGGTTTCTAATTTACGATACGCAAAGAGGGACATTATAGACAAACAGACACGACAGGCTTTCGACTTTCAACAAAACGTTATCCTGTCTTGTCTGTTTGTCTTCAATGTCCCTCTTTCCTTATCGTAAACTGTCATGGCGCTGGTCGTTTTTGTGCGTTAGCAATCATTGACTAGACCAATCAGGCACGGTGATCCTTTCTCTGCTTGATTGGTCTAGCCGGCAAGACAAACGCACGAAGACGACGAGTGACATGACGATGCACTTTTGGTGTTGCTTGATTGGCTACACGGGGTCGTGGTGTTGTGTAAGAGATGACCGATACTGTGGGTTCACCCTGAGTTTGGGAATTTGGAGCACACAAACCTGGCTGCTTTTCTGAACATCATATTATATTCACAATGTTCGTTGGTGCGCTGCCTTGCGATTGCAGGATTAGCGTTCCCGTCATTGGCTACTGACTCGCAGGTGTCCCCAGACGGGTCTCCTCTTCGTGTTTCTCGACTGCCGTTATTTCTTTAGGAGGTTTCCCCGTATTCGATACGTCCGCATCTCTCGTCCTTCGGTACTCGACTGTCCCTCTCTTCGCTTACATCCCCAGAAAGAGAAGCCTCTTTGTTTAGTTATCTCCCTCCCCCTGCGTTCTCTCCGGAGTCTCGATGCGACTCTGTATACCTTTGGACTCCAAGCTGCGGTCGTTCGGCAGGAAACGCCACGAAAGAAGGGCGACGAGACCGAGCCTCAAGGGCTCGGTGGCGCCGCGCTGTTGTTCAGTGGGCACAACAGCCTCTACAGTCGGCCACAACATTGTGGCAGACTGCAGAGGTTGAATTCCAACCGGGTCTACTCGGCCTGGGTGAATCTCACAGTTGGCTGTGTTCGAATTTCATATTGAACTGAGTATAGACATACTCGAAACCTGGAATATCAACGTGGGGTCCCTTAGCGAAAACTAGGTTACTTTAAGTATACTTTACGGTCTTTTAAGATACTCATTCTCAAGAAGTATACTAAAATTGTCCTTAAAGGATGCTAGCCAGAAGTAGGCTTGTACTATTAGTGTCCTTTCTTAGTATGCTTGAAGTATATACTGTAATAGTATACTTTTAGTAAACTAGCTAAGACCTAAGTAGCTTCTAAGTTCATGCGAAGCGTCTTACTAGTAGCCTGTCCTGGGTATCTTTTAGTGCACTAGAAGAACGTTATGGAAGTAAGCTGGAAGGATCTTGTAAGTATTCGTGCAGTGACTTATCAGTTGCCTCTCTAAGGTTTCTTTTAGTGAACGAAAAGTTTACTATGGAAGTGCGCTGAAAGGATAATCAGAGCATGCACCGAGTATGCTTAGCTGCGCTCACCATGAAATGAGGACAACATTGTGCTTCGTCGCTGTGTCTGTGTCATGAAATGGCGTCAGCAGCTCGCGTTGTTTCGAGCGCTGTGGCGTTTCAGTGCTGTACGTGAGCCCCCTGATCAAGTTCTCAGCGTTCCGGTGGCAGGCGTGACCGACTACGTCTGCGATTGCACCGTCCCAGAATGAGTGTAGTGACCATTATAAGTTGCGCACACGCTGTGGACGCGTAGCTTCCCGGCGTGGCAATCAAGAAATGAGCCGCCTGGAAACGACAACAATAGTTGCGTTGACGCAGTGGTTACCCCTCAC